TTCCACCCGCCGGGAGCCAGGGGGAGGGGCGCTCACGTCCCACCGGGCCGGGGCTTGTATCTTACCCCCTTCACAAGCCACTGGGTTCTTGCAGGTGTGGATGTGGTCTGGATGTTGTCCTGTGTCCTCTGGTCTCTATTTTAGGAAGAGTTTTCTTTGTTATATTTTCATAAATCTGTGTGTTTTTGGGAGGAGATTTCCAGTGCTCTACTCACGCCGCCATCTTGGCTCCGCCTCCATTTGTTTCTTTTATCCCTGTCTTGACATATGCTGTTCCCTGTGCCTCAAATGCCCTTCCCCCTCCTACTCACCTACTTGACTTTTTCCATTAATGTACCTGATTGGTCAGTGTGGATACATAAGGACAGTCAGAATGTTATGTCTTGCTTGGGTGGGTTGATAGCATCAGTGCTGAGTGTCCAAGTTACAAAACTCTATCAGCTCTAGCAATTATAAAAGTCTGTGAATTTCAAACTGTATGATACAAACAGTTCACCTCTTAAATGTTCGAGTGTTCAAGTTGTTTTATCCAAACCCTGAGAATATAGGCATATTGTTATTGTTCTTGTTTCCTTGTGTAGAAAGGAAAATAGAGAAGTTGAAGAATATTTGAAAGATGGAAACTTTTTCTAATTCCTTCTGCTGTACCCTGAGCTGTTCTTTATCTTTCTTTGTAGGAAAATAAAAGGCTTAGACTAGAGGAAGAAAGATAAAGGGTAAATTGTATAGAATTTCCTGATAAAACAACTTCTAGAAAAGATCATGATCTATACACTGAGGAGCTTATGAACAAAGTCTGATTCACTATCTTCCTTGGATGGTTTCTGTATCACCCCCTGGTCTGTGGTTCGAAAAATTTTTCACACTAATTAGGTAATTTCCAGCAGTGAATGCCCCATCAACCTCCTACCTCACCACCTACTGCTGCCCACAAAATAAACTAGTGTCCAGATAGTGTGGTGATGCTTTGGATGCAGGTATCAGGGAAATGATGTGTAGTCAATTATCATTCATATCTTTTGTTTTGTTTTGTTTTTTGAGATTTATGTCATCACTTTTTGTTGCTTAGTATAAAAATCCAATTGTTATTTAAAATTTTTTTTGAGTACTTATTATGTCCCTGTCATGTAGGGTAACAAATTAACAGGTTCTGAAGATGAAGACATGGACATCTGTGGTGGGAAGGGCTTTGGGTAAAATTGTAATATTTCCAGAATATCTTGCCTGGCTTTAGTGCATCATCAGGGATGGAGAGAAGTATGGCATTAGTGCATCTGCATATCAATAGGCGTTTCTCAGGGGTGGAGACAAGTATGGCTTTACTGCATCTGCATATCAGTAGGTGTTCCTCAGGGATGGAGTGTGGTTCAACTCTAATTCAGTGGGTAATTACCTGAGCAACCAAGTGCTTAGCTGAACCTGCGCGGTTAAGGGGCGGTCTGGTTGGCTTCTGCTGGAGCAAGAGAGAGAAACGGCCCCAAACTGCAGTTTGTAAGCAATAAATGGGTTTTAAACTTTATTTCTCCCTTTGACTGATGTCAGTTTTAGAGGTATTTTGCTCCCGAATTTCCTCTCCTTGGACTTACAAGGGCATTACTCTGCCTGTCACCAAAGACAGAACTGTTTGAGTGTGCATTTGTCCTTTCTTTCCTTTCTCATGACCACCATCATCTGCCGGGTGTTGCCAAGCCTCTGCTATAGCTACCTCGGATTTCCCTCCACCCCCACTTCTCCTTCCTCTTTGAGATGCAGATTTCACTGAAGCTTCAGACCACCACCCACACCACTACACCCTGCACTGACTTCCTTGCCAGGTACTAGTTCAAAGCCAAGTGTGTATTGCTGTACAGTGCTTCCCATCAAAATGGTTCTCCTCTCCCAACACCTTCTGGCATATGAGAGAAACACAATTTATGCACTGACCCTTTGTGGGAAGGTTCATGAGTTTAGTTCTATGATGATTTATAAGTGACTCTAGGATGAGCATTTCATTGATACTATGAGACTTCTGATACCTTCTCTCTTCTCTCTGGTCCAATGATCAGTAATGTTCAAGATGGATGGACTGGTGTTCAACATGTAGAATAAGCAGGAAATAAACTTCATTGTAGCCACTGATATTTTGGGGTTGTTAAGACAGCATATAACCTGATTTGTCCTGACCCATGTGTTTTGTATGGGGTGAAGGAAAGTAAAAGAGAAGACGATCAGGGCACGTCTCTCCCAAATGGTTCTCCACCTTCACTTATCTTGATCCACAGGCCACATGGACTTCCCTGGTCCTCTGATGAATATGCCCATTAACACCACCTTCTGGCTGTTGGGTTTCTTTTTTGAGGAGGTAGAGAATTTATTTTCTGAAGTGTATGTGATAATGTACCAAGTGAGTTACCATTAATCGCATGTAGTCAACTCTTTTCTTCAGTCAATTGAACAAGTTTCTGGGGTGGATTTAAGGGGGGTGTGGGGAAAGAACAGGGTGGTGCCATGAGCATTTTACAGTGATCATTCTCTTCCTCTCCTGCACTAAACTCTCACCATGGAAGTATGCTTATTTCAGGACAAGAACAGAGTGGGGGAGAATTTGGGATTTGATGGAAACCATAGTAGGAAGGAAAATTTATAGATCTCTGAGGAAAAGAAAGGGGTCAAAGGGAAACCATGCAGGCTGCCCAGGGCATCTGCACGTGGGCACTCACAACCCAGGGTCCCTTGTTTGGCCATCTTTCCATGCCCCTGCTTACTGTGTGCCTCTCACCCCAACCCTGCTGGAACCCTTGCCTTATGCCAGTGATTGAGATTAATGCCTAGTCCCACTAACTGGAGATGCAGCTCCTGCCCAGCACCAGGGGTGCAGCAGGGCAGTTGAATGCCTACATATTAAAACTGGAACTTTAAATATCACAAAAGCAGCTATTGTAACCTGGGTTAAATATGGTGGAGTTTCTCTATAATGAGAGCATTCAGGTGTTCAGCTGGGTTATCACTGACATGGGCTCCTGTGGGCCGGCTCCAGAATACATCATTTCTATGTGTGGGATAAATGGAAGTTTTCACCCAGAATTTCCCACCTGGCCTTGATCCATTTACATACCAATGAATGTTTACCACAGCAGAGCCTCTGGTCAATCCTGGGCAGTGGGTAGAGAGAAAACAGCCATTCTCTCCATCCCTCCCATCCTGGTAACTAAGTGGTATGGCACTCACCAGTCACCAATGACCCACCCATGGAGTTCCTGGCAAAAGGGGTGGGCAGGGGTGTAGAGAGTGTGAGCTTCAGCCAGAGGGGATGTAGGGAGCCGGGCCTGGCTAGTGAACTCGAGCAAGCTGTGAGCAATGCAAACTGTCTCCCAACCTGTAATTTATTTTCTGAAGTGTATGTGATAATGTACCAAGTGAGTTACCATTAATCGCATGTAGTCAACTCTTTTCTTCAGTCAATTGAACAAGTTTCTGGGGTGGATTTAAGGGGGGTGTGGGGAAAGAACAGGGTGGTGCCATGAGCATTCTACAGTGATCATTCTCTTCCTCTCCTGCACTAAACTCTCACCATGGAAGTATGCTTATTTCAGGACAAGAACAGAGTGGGGGAGAATTTGGGATTTGATGGAAACCATAGTAGGAAGGAAAATTTATAGATCTCTGAGGAAAAGAAAGGGGTCAAAGGGAAACCATGCAGGCTGCCCAGGGCATCTGCACGTGGGCACTCACAACCCAGGGTCCCTTGTTTGGCCATCTTTCCATGCCCCTGCTTACTGTGTGCCTCTCACCCCAACCCTGCTGGAACCCTTGCCTTATGCCAGTGATTGAGATTAATGCCTAGTCCCACTAACTGGAGATGCAGCTCCTGCCCAGCACCAGGGGTGCAGCAGGGCAGTTGAATGCCTACATATTAAAACTGGAACTTTAAATATCACAAAAGCAGCTATTGTAACCTGGGTTAAATATGGTGGAGTTTCTCTATAATGAGAGCATTCAGGTGTTCAGCTGGGTTATCACTGACATGGGCTCCTGTGGGCCGGCTCCAGAATACATCATTTCTATGTGTGGGATAAATGGAAGTTTTCACCCAGAATTTCCCACCTGGCCTTGATCCATTTACATACCAATGAATGTTTACCACAGCAGAGCCTCTGGTCAATCCTGGGCAGTGGGTAGAGAGAAAACAGCCATTCTCTCCATCCCTCCCATCCTGGTAACTAAATGGTATGGCACTCACCAGTCACCAATGACCCACCCATGGAGTTCCTGGCAAAAGGGGTGGGCAGGGGTGTAGAGAGTGTGAGCTTCAGCCAGAGGGGATGTAGGGAGCCGGGCCTGGCTAGTGAACTCGAGCAAGCTGTGAGCAATGCAAACTGTCTCCCAACCTGCTCTTCCCCTTGTCCTCCTTCGGTTTCATCAGATTCATAGAGAATTTGCCCCAGGAGGGGAACCCCTTCCCATCAGATCTACACTATGGAAACCTACAATCCGTGACCCAAATGCCCAGGTTAAAATTTTGCTGTTTTATTTAACTCAGTGTATGGGTCAGTTAGAGATGGCCAGTATTAGATTAAAATTGGGGTTCCTTTTTCACATTTGTGGATTTTCTTCATCCAGATTATCCATTCCTGTCAACAGGGGTAATGGAGGGCCCTCTAATCTTAAGTGTCTGTGTTTAAATGGAAACTTCTATTATGGCAAGATTAGCCATTCCTAAGATGGGAATCCTTTCTCAGCTGTTGTTCATTGGCGTTTCCTTTTATTTCATGATACCCTGCAGGGCGGGCCCTGCTGAGACTTACTGACAAGAAGCTTGAGCGAATGGGGATTGCTCAGGAGAACCTCCGGCAGCACATTTTACAGCAGGTGCTTCAACTGAAGGTACGAGAAGAAGTCAGAAACCTACAGTTACTCACCCAAGGTAGGTATCCTACTGCTGCCTGGGGGACAGATGGGAGGGGACATGGGAGGACAGAACCCCTTACCACCATGACAGATGACAGCCAGGAGGAAATTGTTACTGGTTTTTTTTTTTCAGAATTTCCTTCATTAAAAAAAAAAGTATATAGATTGAAAGGCCACTTCCCTCCTAAAGCTTCTCTTTACTAGCTCACTAGGAGGAAGGATACATCATAAATAAATAATATATGAGTAAACAGAATTAATTCCAGGCTCATCATTACAGCTATGTAGGTTGTGCATTGCACAGTCTTGATCATCACCATGCACATACCTCCCCAGGAGTTGTACAGTGTAGTGTGTCTTTGTCTGACTACCAATTCTGAGGGAGTCTTGGAATTTGAACGAGTCCATGTCATTATGTAAGTGGGATTATGTTTAACTTTGAACTGTGTTTTTCACTGAAAAATGAGAAAGTCACTGACTAATGGGATAAAAACATTTTAAAGGTTTGTGTCTATGTGTATGTTTGTGTATAAATACACACGAGATTTTGGAGACCCTATTTAACATCTTTAAAGTAACGTCATTTTTTAAAATAAACTATAAGGTATCTAAGACTAGAATATTATGAATTAAAACAAGAATCATTCATAATTTCAGTATGTTGAGAGCACTGAAAGCCCCTATAAGTGGGAAGAACAGAATAAAGCTGGAATTTTAAGAAAACCTTAAATTACACTATATTTAAGTTATTGTATGTTTACATAAGAGTTGGTTGGTAGCAACATCCATTGTCTATAACACTTTGTTTTATTTTAATGCTCACTGTACACCATCTAAAGTGAAAGGATGATAAATTGTTTTTTCCTAAGAGCCTTCAGTGTTTTTCAGCCTGTGGAATATTCTAATTGTGTGCATACTGATATAAAGAAATCTGGGTCAGCCAAGTTTCATGTTATTGCATTTAGATTAACCCAATAATAGTCCATTTGCCTAGAGGAAGTAACGTACTGCCTGAAAGATGACTGCTCTGGAAGTATAAATACAGACTTTGAATGATATGGAAACAGTATTGTTCATTTGATATGCAGTATTTGCATTTGACTCCAGAGACTTCCAATGGTAAATTTATAGGTATGGGTGTACTAAATGATTTAAATGAGAATATGACATACTCACATACTTTTAAGCTTCTTTTAAGAAGTCAGTAGAAATTCAAAGATTTATCATAAGTCCATTGCAGTGCTGTTTATAAGATTGAAAACTTAGAAACAATCTACAGGTTCAGCAATATGGAAAGAATCAAATAAGTCTGCTTGAATTCATAAGAAACAATAAAATGCAATCATTGAAATTACACCTTCGAAGAATATATGACAACATAGGAAAGCACTCAAAAACTTAGGAGAAGTAGAGGGGAGAGGCCATGTGTAAACTTGTATTTGTAATCTGAGCCCAATTTTGTAAAAAGAACATATTTTCATATATACATAGAAAAAGACACAAATGAGTATGTCAGTATTTTGACAATGGTTCTCTCTGGGCAGTGGGATTATGAGTGCCTTTGTTTTCTTTATATTTTTCTATGTTTTCCAAATTTTCTAGTATAAATCCATATTACAGTTGTAATAAGAAAGTACACATTTTTTTAAACCTCACTCACAAGCGTCTTTCTACCACGTTCTGTTGTATCTGAGATTTCCTCCACACATTTTTTTTCTTCCTGCCGTGATATGAAGAAAATGAGACCTAAACTTATCGCATGAGCCTTCGACTTTTTTCTCCTCTGCTACTGTCAGCCTGCAGTGTGTTTGCTTTGCGAAATCATTTTCTACAGCTTTCATTGCCCTAGATGCATAATATATAAGATTTTTGCTGAGATAATACCCAAGTCTATTAAGCTAAATATATGTTTGTGTTCTGGGAAGGTAATGCTAAGTTCAGCCTTTTCAGTTCAGTTGTTGTCACTTTCTTTAGCTTTGAAAAGCTGTGCATTTTGGATTCTTTCATTCCATTCCCTTTAGAAGAGATCACATTCTCTAGCTCTTGGATTTTTTGTCTGTACTCATATTGCCTTTTTTATTGTTTGTCCTTTACATGTTAATATTCAGACTCATTTCATGTCAGGCAGCTCTTAGAAAATCTATAGCCTTATTGAAGTGATGGTTTCTTTCAAACAAAATGAAAAAAAAATTGGCAAGTTGTTTTTATCTCTGATAATAGAAATTCTAAAGGCAGCTGGGGCAGGCTTAAAATATTTTGGGTCTAGGTTTGCTATAATAAGAATTGGAATTCTGTTCCACCCAAGTGAACTGACTGACATAATATATATATCATTTGGAAATTCACCATAGGAGTGATATGCAATTCAATATTGAATATTTGATTTCTCATCTCTGCAAATATTAACCAGTAGAAATAATATGCTGAATAAGTACAAAGGTTATAAAATGTTACCCAGTTTTTAGAAATCCCTGAGCTTCCCTCTTAAAAAGTATAATTCATATCTCCAGTGTCTAGAGATATAATATTCCTAGCCTACACGGTACTATAAGTCTGGCATAATGGAATTAATTTTTGTTCATTTTTAACAAATATTTCCCAACTAACATATTTAAGTCAGGGTTATTGCCTTCAAAGTAGCCAACCTTTGAGGAAAGGTATTATTTCACAAATGATAGAATTTCTTATGAGTTTCCTTCTAGTCTTTGGAAGCAATTTCAAAACATAAGCTCTAATTGTTTAGGAAGAACCTAAGTATCTATCTTTACGGGACCAGTTAAATAAACTTCCATCCAGGCACTGGGGTACTCTGAAGCTATAGACACAAGAATGAGTAATAGCAATATAAAAGGATCTCTGAGAGCCATGGGAAGTGAGAAAAGCAAGGTCAGAGTATGAAGGTATAGGGTATGCTACATTTGAAATGAAAGGGGGAAATAATGTTTGTCCATATATACTTTGTTTACATAAGGAAACATTGATGCACAAGAAGCTTATAAAGGGTACATCTGTGAGACAGGGCAAAAGGTGATGAGAGAGGATATATGCCTTATGTCACTTTGCATTTTAAAATGTGTGAGTGTATTAACAATTTCAAAGAATGAAAATTTTTAAAAGAAACAAGGGGAAAGAGTGAATTTTAGCATCAGAGAGACCTGATTTTTTAAATATTGGCCCTAACACTTATTGCTGTGTTATTTTAGGGAAGTTACTTTATCTCTGTGTTCCAGTTTTCTAATCTCAGAAAGGTAGATCAATAAATCTGCTCACCTCATCGGGATGTTATTAGAATTAAATGAGCTAAAATATATAAATCACTCAGTGCAGTATGGCAATAAGAACAGAACATAGTTATCAGTAATAGAAGCCACAAAATTAAATCAATCTCATTAATTTATAACCAAGCTTTATTTTGTATAATGTCTTTGAGCTATAATTCACACAGCATGCAATTCACTGATTTTTAGTATAGTCATAGAATTGTGCGACTATCACCATGTTTTAATTTTAAAACATTTTCATCACCCCAAAAAGAAGCCCAGTGCCTGTTAGGATTCATTCCCCATTTCCTTCCAATGCCCTCCAACCACCAGCCTTTGAAAACCACTAATCTACTTTCTATTTGCTTATTCTGAACATTTCCTATGAAAGGAATCATACAATGTATGGTCTTTTGCGATTGGCTACTCTCACTTAGGATATCGTTTTTAATGCTCATTCATGTTATAAGCATGTATCAGTATTTCACTTCCTTTTATTGCCAAATAATATTCCATTTTATGAATACACCACATTTTATTTATCCACTTATCAGTTGGTGGACATTTTGATTGTTATTGAATCTTGGCTATTATTAATAGTGCTGTTTTGAACATTTGTGTACAAGTTTTTGTGTGGACATGTTTTCGTTTCTCTTGCATATATGAATGGAATTGCTGAGTCATAGGATAACTGCATGTGTAACCATTTGAGGAGCTGCCAGACTGTTTTCAGCTGCACCATTTTACACTCCCCCAAGCAGTATATGAAGATTCCAGTTTCTCTACATCCTTTTCAACACTTACTGTGTGTTTTATTAGAACCATCCTAATATATGTGAAGTGGTACCTGTTGTGGTTTTGATTCACATTTGCCTGGTGGCTAACGATGTTGAGCATCTTTTCATGTGCTTATTGGCCATTTGTGTATCTTCTTTGTAAAAATATCCTTTCAGATTCTTTGCTCATTTTTTAATTTTGGGATATGTTTTTTCCAAGCTTTGTTTCTGAGCCACTGTTTCACTAACCTTGGTTGCCCACTTTATTTACAAGATCTAAAGCTAAACATTTGGCTGCCATTTCCAAAGAGTAATCCCATCCTCAAAGCATGAAGTATTGCCCCAGGTGGAGGCATTCTAAAGAACCTGCCACACACTTGGAAATCAATTCCAAAATGAAGCAAATGAATGGATTCTAAAGATTTTCTATCACAAAACAACATTCTTTTGGATGTAGAAACTAAACAGACACACCTCAAATCACTTGCATCAGTTTGTAATCAGACCTCTAAATTAGATACACCCATCTGAAAACTCATTCTACCATGCTTCTATTGGAAATAAAATAATAGATAATTAAGCCTACTTTTCCAACTTTTGATTGCTGTCTTAAAACTGGTCTTAATCAGACCTTTTGTGTAAAGGACCCAACAGTAGAAAGCATCTTAGTCTTGAAAAGCCTTATGGTTATCTGTTGCAACCAGCCCATCATGCAAAAGCAACCAGAGATAACCTTGGGTGAATTAGACATAGCAGTGTACCAATAAGACTATATACAAACACAGTTGATGGACCATAGTTTGTGGACTCCTGCTTTACAAGGTCAAAAATATAAACTTTTGATGTCATCATAATCCATCATCATCAAGATTATTGTTTTATTCTTAGTATCTTCCCTTTTGAGCCATAAATGCTTTCCTCAACCCCAGGGACACTATAGTATGGAGCCACTCCTGGGGTGTCCCTGTCTAAGTTTTTCT